AAAAGGCATTTCTTTGTCCCTCAGTTACTCTGCACCTCAGGTGCAAGGAGATTTCAGATGACTGTCTCCCAACATCCCTTTGTATTGCTGACTCCCCTGTCTCAGTGTGTTCTGTCATCTTTTGGTTTGGACGTGCAGAATCAAAAGCTGGGCTTAAAAACTTGTCACAACATGACTGAGGAATTGTTTACTGAACTATATACCTGCTTTGAGACCATGTGTAGTCAGTAAGATATAAAACTTCCCTTCTGCAGTCAGATGAGGTGAACTTTAACTCATTCAACTCGTGTGGATGTGCCTGGCATCCCTTCTGACGATGGAAATGCTACTCATTCAGTGGCTTCTTGTAGCCCTGAACTCCTAGGGAGGGTTCTGCACTCCCTAGATGTGCCGTGTGGCTGCTTGGGCTGGGCTGGTTTGTGGTTCCCTGTGAACCCTCGGGGGGTTCAGGGGTCTGAGGGTTGGAGGGTTGGAGTGTTGGGGGCTGGTGCTGTTTGGGACGCTCCTCCCGCCAGGGCTGCCTGCTGTGTTTTAGCAGTGCAGGTTACAGACAGTGGAATTCCAAACCTGTTTTATGGCACTGTTAACCCGAGGGAGTGTGTGATTTCCACCGACCTGCTGTGCCATGTCACTCGTGTCCCCTTCCCCAAGGCCCTCCGTGCCGGGGGCAGCGCGAGGGACACCCCAACTGCAGCAGGGGACAGCACACACGGCCTGCAAAGGGCCAAGAGCAGTTTATTCCCATCTTTCCCAACTCGTTCTTTCTCTGCTTGTCCTTGGGGAGGGTGGCACCTGGCAGACTAGGAATTTTCCAAAAATAACAGGGATTTGGTGTACCTGTTTGCAAGCACACCTGGATGTGTTGGATATTTTGCAGTAGTAATTATGTCTGCACACCTGCTGGTTTCAGTCCCAAAACAGTTTGCCAGACATGCCTAGAGAGATTTATTTCTCCTATAACTGAAAAAGCTCTTTTACCACTGAGTTTTTACTACTCTAAATAAGCCTAAAGAAAAAAAGAAGAGGATTTTTTTCTTGTCTTTGCTTGAGCCGTTGGTATCTCAAACTGAACTGTGGAGTTTGTTAGGGGGAGGAGGGTGTTTGGATGATATTTTAATAGCAATTTGTTTTTGCTTCAATGTGTGATAGAAATACAAGTGACAGGAGTGGGAACAGGAGAGTTGCTGAATTCTGCTGGAATTTTTCCTGTGGGAATCTGTTAATGTTTTTAATTCTCTGAGAGATTTTTCTAAGGTAATCCTTTTGACATTTACATATTTTAAATGACTCTCATTAAATAAAAGCTTAACTTTTTTATATTGAATGGTGAAGTGATGATACTGGAATACCACTGCATAGCAATTCAAATGGTTTGAGGATTATTCTAATTGCAGCCTAAGCAAAGTAAGATTTGTGAGGGATATTAGTAGAGAATTGTTCTCTAAAATAAGTTTGAAGGAAGTTTAATTGTTCTGGCATTTAGCAGAATACCCTTTTTGGTACCTAATGTACCACTTGGCCATTTGCTGATTGAAGCCCTCATTTGGACAAGCGTGGCTTCCACCCTCCCTCGTGTTCCAATGAGAGCCCCAGGTCTGCACCCTGGGAAAGGAGCTGGTCCCTGCCTGTGTCCCACCAGGTGTGGCTCAGCCCCTCAGGGCAGATGCTGCTACAGCCCAGGGACAGCTGAAGAAATCAGAGGTGGAACATCTTTTAGAAGGAGGAGTGTGGTGGGGAGGTGTTGCATCTCTTGCAGGGGATATCCTCTTGCAAGCAGATACTGCCATAAGCAAAATGATTGCTGTCCTCATGTCTGTAACTCCTTTCCCAGCATGAGGCTATCTCTAAGACAAACATACAGTGCAGCCCGGCTTTTAAATCAACTTTCTTCTGTAGGTTGCACTTCGCTTGTTCAAGCCCTTGAGCCAGAATTTGCTCTCAGACCAGACTAAATACTAAGCAAATTCGTTTAATTAAATTTGTTGCAGATATCCCCAGTTAACAAGAACAGATTGGTCTCCCTGAGGCTAGATGGAATTAATAAGAAAATAAATGTTGTGCTAATTAGAGAACTCATTTTCAGACACCTGGGGTGAAACTTTAAAAAGTCCTAGAGATGTAGGATTGAAAATTCATTTGGAAATGAGTCTTAGGCTTCTAAATCACTTAGGCACTTCTGAAAAATTTACCCAGAGGCTTTAACCATCCCAGAATCATCATATTTAGCATGTTTGTAGCTGTCTGCTTAGCAAAGCACGGTATAACCATTATCTGTTCGTACCACAATGTATTTCATTGTCCCTGTAAGTGAGGTGGAGACACTGAGCTACCTGTGGAGCTGAAGGCAGGCTGACTATCATTTTTTTGAGGATGTTTGTGTGTCAACAGGAACAGATTGATGCTTTCTTGGAGCCGTTAAAGCACTGGTGCACCAAATGTCCATCTGTTTGCAACCTGTACCGAGGAACTTTTAATTAAATCTTGGTCTTTGGTGACTTGTCCAAGCTCCTGGATAAAGAAGACAGCATAGATGCAATTTTATAGTTCAGCACTTGCTGGAAGGAAAATGAGATGCTTAATACTGTCACACTGCCATTCACCTGCCAGGTCATGGTAGGAGGGAATAAGGAGTCATATCCTCAATAAAAAGTAGGTTTAATATTAAGCCAAATTTCCAGATTCACAGATATGATTAGCAGAAGAGTAAGGAAGGAACCAGGCTGCAAGGAGGAAACAGTCCCTTCATTTGCTTACAGCTCAGAAGGATGTTTTCTGTAGCTGGTTTTTTCTCTTGTAAGTGGTCTGAGGATTGTTCTGAACTCTCATCCTTGTAAAGACATGCATTAGCAGCGTCTGTTTGATGCCAGGTAAAACCCTTCCCACAGCCACGCACACACTGCTGTCTGTCAGCAAAAACTTGTGTGTCAGTAATTAAAAAACGCTATTAAAAGGCCGCCTGTAATCCCTGCTGGGCTGGGGGCGGGCTCAGCTCGGCCTCCTGGCCCCAGCTCCTGTGCCTTGCAGGGCTCTGCAGGGCTGGGCTGCCCCAGAGGGGACCCTGGGGACACCTGTACAGCTCAGTCTCACGGGTGTGTAACAGCTCCCAGGGGCAGCAGCTGCAGCACCTCACACAGGGCACTCCAGAGCTGGATCTCACCGGGGGGGCCAGCCTGTACATCGGGTAATGCCTGTCAGGAGTCCGGATCATCCGACAGCATCATAAACCAGATGAGTCAGGGCCCGAAAACATGGAGGGGATCCACTGAGCTCATCATTTTTATACCTAATTACACAGTGCTATTGAGAGAGAACTGCACATTATGCTGCACGTTTCATCACTAGTTCTAAAAGATAATTGCATTTAATTAGGACCTATAGATACCATGGTGATTACTGATCTATAAACACTCGAGGCAGACCTGCAGATGAAGTGCAAGAGCAAGTGCATCCACTGAACACAACTCAAAATGAACATGATGAACATGATGAACAGTTGAGCTGTTTTACATGGAACTTGTAGCTCTAGTGCTCTGTTGTGATTCTCTGCAATTCCTCTGCTGTGAGCCAGCAGGCAGGCCAACACCTTTTGTTTAATCTGGGGTAATGTGTGCACGAATGGGCAAAAGTGACAAAGTTGACATCTGCAGTGGTGAAAGCTGACCTTTTGTGTGTGAAGTCAGGTCAGAAAGGAAGCAGCAAACAGCATAGCTAGTAAAGCCACAGATAAGGCAGTAAACACTTTTTGTGCTGAAAATAGTTTTTGTAATGGATGTTATTATGCATTTTCCAATGAATTGCAAATTGCACTTGCAGTCAAATTGCTGGTTGCCTTGTCCCAGCACAGGTCTGGAGGGTCATTTGCAGCAAGTCAGAGCATAGAAAAGTCATCTTTGTCCTCTGGTGCTTGTGCAGAGCTGCCTGCACGGGTATTCCTGTGACTGGAACTAACCTGGTGAGGGTGCCAGAGCAGTGAGAGCTCCCTGGGGAATGGCACAGGCTGTCCCTGTGGGAATGGCTCGGGCTGTCCCTGTGGGAATGGCTCGGGCTGTCCCTGTGGGCATGGCTCGGGCTGTCCCTGTGGGAATGGCTCGGGCTGTCCCTGTGGGAATGGCTCGGGCTGTCCCTGTGGGAATGGCTCGGGCTGTCCCTGTGGGAATGGCTCGGGCTGTGCCTGGGGAATGGCTCGGGCTGTCCCTGGGGAATGGCTCGGGCTGTCCCTGGGGAATGGCTCGGGCTGTGCCTGGGGAATGGCTCGGGCTGTCCCTGTGGGAATGGCTCGGGCTGTGCCTGGGGAATGGCTCGGGCTGTCCCTGGGGAATGGCTCAGGCCATGATCCTCTAGGGAATACAAACCATGTGGAATAACAGTGTTAACATGGTAGTCACTGAGTGTGAAACACTGCATTTCTTTTTTCTTGTAGCCGTGCTTGGGACCAAAAATTCACCCACTCAAGAGTGACAGAGTTGTTGTGTTTGCCGTAACTCCAGTCTCATCAGAAATTCTTGGCAGTTGATATGGTCACTGCAATGCTTTTCTGGAAACAGTTGTGAGGGGAAACACAGAAGTAGTATTTTTATGGGGAGGAAGGGAAAAACGTAGCCAAGGGGCTAAAGGGAATGATGAATTGCTTGCCCACTGAAATTATGGGTATCCAGTTTCTTGTATTCTGTGGCTCTTGCCTTTTGCAGCGGGAAGAACAGGTGAGCAGTTTTGTATTTCCCAGAGAGTGAGAGGTGTGTGTGGCCAGCTCAGCACCTCACTGACCCAGGACTGCAGCAAAGGGCAGGCTGGACATTGTTTCAGCAGCTCATGTTCAGAGGGAATACTCTACCTGAGCTGCGTGGCGAATAGAAATAGCATTCAGTGACGATAACTCAAAGAGCAAAGTGACCAGGAAAAGCAATGTCCTCCCCAGAATGTATTTAAAGTTGTCATTTCACTTTAGCTTTCATTTTGCCTCACCCTCAGTAATATCTGTGTCTTCTTCTCACCCCCCACAGTTCTTTGCTGGGATGGCTCTGCCACCTCCAGATCCCCAGTTTGTGCTCAGAGGTACCGGTGCTGCCATCCACACTCTGCACTTCTCCTGTGGAGCCCCAGAACCCGAGATCCCTGTTCTGTTCTCGGGGTAAGTAAACCAGGATTTCTGGCTGCTCTGAGTCCGCTGGTTTCCTTTGAAAACCAGGTATTATTTTGATAAAGTGTATCTGGAGAGAACAGCAAAGTGTGGTTGTGAATGATGGGTGTGCTCTCTGTGCATCAGACTGATCACCCGAATGCAGCGGTCACAATAACAGCATCTGTTCCTGTTGCAGGTCTGAGACCGGGTTTATCCATGTCTGGAACCTGAAAACACACAGAGTGGACACAGCACTGGATGGCCATGGAGGAAAATCTGTCTGCTGTGTGGAGACAATGGGTGGTAAAGACAGGCTGCTCAGGTGAGCAGAGAGAGGGAAACCAGGGAAATGGTTCTTGTCTCTGGGATGGACACGACTGAAGGGAAAAAAAGTCTCGTCATTCTGGAGTCACTGAAAGTCTCTCCATCCAGCACATATGGGAGTGTAGTGAAGTACAAAAACACAGAGGAACTCTAGAATAAAAAGTGGGGAGAAAACCAGAAATTATTTCTTCATGATGTGTATGTTATGACATCACAACAACCTGGGATCTGTAATGCCTTTATTACTGCACTGAGATCAGGTGAGGTGTTTGGGTAAAGGAAATACGTTTGGATTTGAAGTTGACAAATCTTTCACAACTGGTTCTCAGGGAAGATTGATATAAAGAGTTTGTAAATAGGGGCAGGGAGAGAAGGGAAGGGAAGGAAAGAAGAGAAGAATCAGAGATGGAGAGTGGAAGGCTGAAAATGAGCAAGAATGCTGAGTTTCATGCCTTTGCTTTGTTGCAAAATATCCTCTTGTTTAGCAAGGGAAGGTCGGGAAGATTTGTGTACTTTGGATTAGACAGGTGATCTAGAGTAGATGCCAAAGTGTCTGTATGATTAGGAGGTGTTCTGACATGTTTATCTAGAGAAGACATCTCATAATATACAGTGGAACTCATTAGCATTTATACTTCTTATCTGCCTAAGTACAATTCTCAACACTCTTCCCCATAAAATCATATTGAATGAGCATTGTTTGTATAATTATAGAGTTTTTCCATTCCTCTGTTTCTGCTGTATAGTTAGTTCACATAGCAGTGCAATTTTAGGACAGCAGTTACCTGTATTTTGGATTTCTTCTTCTAAAGGAAAATCACAACAATGTCTTGCAGTGCCACATTGCTTGTATTCCCAGTGCTGTAAATGTTGTCAGTTTGTCACTCAGCTCAACAGGAGGTGGGAGTTTCTGTGCTGACACTGAAGGAGTCCCAACAGTGTGCAGATTTACATCTCCCCTGTTGTGGTTTCAAACTTCCATGGGGTGATCCAGCTAATTAAAGTAACACATGGAGAAGGGATTTTTGATGACTCCTTGGCCCAGGGGGTAACATGAGGACGTGTCCTGTGCTCCTGTAGTTTATGGACAGTGGGACCTTGTTCCAGAGCCAGTGGGCTCACAAAGCTGCAGGAGCAACCCCTGTGGGCCCGAGGGCTGTGCCCAGAGTCAGAGTGAGCTGCAGCCCCTGGGCTCTGGAGTGGGTGTTTGAGCCACAGCATTCAACATTTCCTTTCTAATTGCTGCCAGTCCCTCTGCTGTTGTCTCCCCACGGGGGAGTCCTGGCACACAGCCCTCTGTGCCCTCCCTGTGGCTGTAGAAGTTGCCCACTGATTAACTGGAGCTTTTTCTGTCTCTCTGATGCGATCTTTGTTGTCTTGCTGTTTGTCTTTCAGCTGTCAACACACCACATTTCCATGTCATTGCTAGGGTGCATGAGTGTTACCTGTGTGGCTCTCGTTTCCTTTTAAATTAGATCTGATTCATGGTAAAATATGTCTTTTATTGTGAATAAGTTCAAATGCTCATGAGAGTTTATAAGCACATGGATACCCGTAAATAGCATAGCTGGGCTCCATCAGGGCTGTCCCCACAGGGCCACAGCCAGCGGGGGCTGCAGTGTCTGATGGCTCTCGGCCCCCCTCCCCGGTGCCCTTCGACCCCGTGGGCAGGGACCCCGAGTCCCCCCCCCGTTAATGACACACCCCATTAACCCCCCCGGCTGCAGCCGCTCACCATGGCCTGTGTTGCTGTGCCAGCCAGGGCCGGGACCAGAGGATCTGCCTGTGGGATTTAGCAGAGGGCCGGAGCGCGGTGACGGACTCTGTCTTCACGGAGCACGTGGGATTCTGCAGATGCTCCCTGCTGAAGGTGGCACAGGGACGCTGGCTGATGGCCACGGCAGCCAAAGGCCTGGAGGAGGTAGGAAGTGTCTCTTTTTCTGGTGCTGGGGAGGTTGCTTTTGTCACTGAAATGACATGGTTTGGGAGGGGAGCATCATTGCTCTCGAACTCTCTGCTCAAGAGAGGGCAGCACAAGAAATCTTTGGGGGTTCTAATCACTAATTTTACTGCCACGAGGATGACTGAATTCTGTAACTCATGCTCTAACAAGGACACCAGCCCAAGGTTTGTCTGCCATTTAAGTATTTGCAGCAGCTGCTGCTCTTCACATGCAGGAGTTTGAAAACTCCTCTGGTGCTGCTGGATACTGGAAACGAGTCCTGCCTGGGAACTCATGGTCAGCAGGCCTGTCATCAGGTGGAGGTGCTCACCTCCCCTCTGACCTGAGCCTTGGCAGAGCAGGGGAGGTGCAGCTGATTTGTAAGGTGATCCCTGGCTGTTCTCCTGGGCTAATTCCTTCCCTGGGACTGGGGCTGGGAACAGTTGAATTCCGATTTCTGACCAGAGGTTTGCTCAGCGTGAGATAATTGCAGGGTCCGTTTCAGTTCCTACTGAAATGTCCACGTCTGACACCACTGTCACTGCACTCACTGACTGCCAGCTTGGTTGGAATTTCCACCTCTGCTGTGCAGAAATCATAGCTTTGTTGTCTACAAAGGACTGTTTGAGGACATCACATTGAAGGAAATTATTTCAAATACTTGACATCAAATGCCAAAATTATGAAAAAAAAAGTGACATAAATATGAAAAGAAATATTGTAGCTCACTGCAACTTGTTGATGTGTGTAAAAGCTCAGATGCTTTTCTGGTCTGTAGCTTGAAACTAAAAGTTGCATATTTTATACACATGAAGTACTAAGTGCCGATATTGCAAGAAAATGAGAACTTTGCAGAAGTTAAGCACATATTTAAGTACTTTGCTGGCTCACAGCCAGAACGTTCAGCCTTTCACAGCACTGAGTAAGCCTGCAGACACAAGCCCTGCACCAGTAGGTACAGCCATTCCCAGTGCCATCCCTTGTTCTGCTCACACAAAGAACTGCCTCCATTTTGCAGCTCGAGAATTCTCAGTTAACCCAAACTGACGGTGCCCTCCTGGCTCTGCCAGAGAAACCCTGGAGATAAAGAATGAAATCCTCATCTGACCCAGCCAGGAGAGCCCGGGGGCGCTTACAGCTCATCCTGGTTTGTTCTCATTTGCTGGTTTGGGCCCTGCCAGGGAGGATGATTTGCTGCCTCCTCAGGTAGGAGAGTTCCACTCTGTGTTGACCCTTTGCACTAGCACCGTGTCACATTTCCAGAAATTCCTGGGAGCTTCCAGACAGGCAGCACTGTGAGACGCA